CAAAGACTGTAAAAAGGAGAAGGTGCGGAATGTGGTCGTAGGAGTCCTGTCAGGAGGGGCCCCAGAGCCACGCAACTCGCACGAGGGGAACGTTAACAGTGAGTCGCCCAGAGCGCACGAAAGTGGAAGCGCAGCCGCAGAGCCGTATGGAGAGAAGTGCATAACCAAAGTAGAAGTATGTGGTAAGGCTTTGGTAGCATTACTGGACACTGGTTCAGAAGTATCAATTTTGCCCATAAACGTATTTCGTGAGCTCAAGCGAGAAGGTCACAGGCTACGGGAGCATGAGGTGGACGGAAGCATACGCATCTTGGACGCTTCAGGAAATCGCATGAAGTTCACGAGCTTGGTAGAAGTCCCGTTATCCGGACTAGGTGAAGGCGCGATTACCGTAAAGATGCATGTAGCGGACCTTCAAACTAGTACGCTAGTGCTGGGCACAAATGCTCTAAGGGAACTAGGGTACGTGCTCGTCCACCGAAATAATTTGTTTAGAATGAGTCCTAGTATGGGGAATCCGAAGTCTCGCGATCGGAAGCGGCAAAGGTAGCGGTTCCGCCCAACAGAGTGTTGGTGTGCAAGCGGATCTATATAGCACCAGGAGAGATGAGATGGATCACTGTCAAAGGAGATACAGATGACACCAAAAGGGAGGGTCTGTTGCACTCGAAAGTGAAGGGACCTCAGTCAGGTTTGCACTCAACAAATGAGAAAGGAGTGGCGGAGGTACCTGTGTGGAATACTGCTACGGAACCTTTGGTGTGAGAGCAGGGCATGTCGGCGAGTGGGAAGAGGACGTGAAATACGCTCATGTAGCAGCCAAAGAGGTTACGTCGGATATGCTGACAATGGGAAAGCCGACTATGAGTTCTGCAGAAAGATTACAGTTGCTAGAAAGCATGCTAAAACAAAATCGGGATTCGATCAGCGACACTGCACCGGAATTATGGGAGTTGGTAAACAAGTACAATTCGGTATTCGCTGTGGAAGACAGGGAGTTAACCACAGACCAAAGCATTTTGGTTGTGCACAACGAGTTGAGTAGCCGAGAGATACGCAACCAGCGCGCGCATAAGGGCAGAGCAACACGTCCAGTGCCGGCAGTAGACCCGAGTGGAGTTTCGTGAGAGAAAGTGGGATACAGGGATTTGCTGGAATTAGAGGGATAAGTAGAGAGTCCCTTCATCACATTGCATCCCGTGTGCTGGTGAAAAAGAAAGACGGTTCGTTGAGGTTATGCATTGACTATAGGGAAGTCAATAAGTGCACAAAACAAGATGCATACCCGCTGCCTCGGATTGACGTGATTCTGCGCAAGCGTTGAAGAGGCGATGGTTCAGCTTTTTGGACATGGCATCGGGATATTGGCAAATCCCGATGTCTGAGGATGCAAAAAGGAAGAGCGCGTTCACAATCTCGGAAGGGCTCTTTCAATTCAAGGTACTACCTTTTGGCTTATGTACGTCACCGCCAAGGTTCCAGCGGTTCATGGACACCGTGCTCACATGACTGAAGGACCAGGAAGTGTTCGTTTATATAGACAACATCCTAGTAGCGACAGAAAGCGAGCAGAGACACCTGGAAGTGCTGAGAGAAGTCTTCGAGGCTTTGCAGAAAGCTAACCTTGAATTGAAACCTCAAAAATGTTTGCTGCTCAGAGATAAAGTTCGTTCTCCTAAGCTCACCAGTTGCACGGGGTCAGGAGTACATACTGACCCCCCAGGAGAAAGTTGCATTGAAGATACGCAGCATATACGCGAAGCGACGCGGCACAGATGGCGGAAAGCGCACCTTCTAGGATGCTGCTGATATTACAGAAGTTTTGTTGGGTTTTTCGAAGATTGCCCGTCCGTTGTTCGATTTGACGAGTCAAAAAGCCCCGTGGAAGTGGGAGAAAGAACACGATGAGGCTTTCGAAGAGCTTAAAACGAGGCTTATGAGTACGCCGCTACTAGCACAGCCTGATGTAGAAGCCGCCAGAACAGGGAGAAAGACCTTACATTATTTATACGGACGCCTCAAGACAAGGCATCGGGGCAGTATTATCGCAGCAGGGGAAAGATGCTTTGCTGCATCCCATTTATTTCACGTCGAAAAAGCTGTCCCGTGCGGAGAAAAACTACCATGTGACTGATTTGGAAGCGCTCGCGGTGGTGTTCGCATTGCAAAGTTCCACTGTTTCGTTTATGGAATGAGTGTGGTAGTAAGAACGGACGGACCATTTGCCTTTAACGGCACAGTTCAGAAGGCATAATGTCTCGCCAAGAGTGCTTCGTTGGGCGCTGGAGGTTCAGCAATACAAACCGACGATTGAGTACGTCAAAGGTAAGGTGAATGCGGTGGCCGACGCGCTTTCTAGGAGCATACCAACTGACGGAAAAATGGAAGGAAGTCCCAAATCCAGGAGAGGACAAAATAGTGTGCTGTGTAAACGGCCAGCAGATGTCGCCGGTTGCCCCTCCTGACAGGACCCCTACGACCACATTCCGCACCTTTTCCTTTCTTACAGTCTTTGGCTTTGTGCCCTCTGCCCTTGCAGTTATAACACCGCATCTGAGTTCCACCTGACACACTATGTTGTTGCACATTATCTAGTTTTTCATTCCTTTGCTGCATTCTCCTTCCTAGCTTCATGCATGGTTCCCAAGGTTTCCGCTCTGCCGAATCGCTGGCTCCTGACCTCATCTTGCCTTACTGCAGGCCTTCTGCCATGCTGCTCCTTCACATTTTCTAGCGTCAGCCTTCTTCTTTCTACGCGCATTGCCGCTTGCTTCAAGCTTGCATACGCAGTACCCCCGTCCTTCTCCATGGCTTCCATGAAGTAGTAGGACTCCGGCCAATGGACTACCTGTTCATACAACTGGTGCGCTCTAACCGTCGACAAGGTTACCTCATCCAGTTCAGGGTATGCTTTGGCCGACAATCTCTCCAGCTCTACGCAGTACTCCGCTATTGTTTGAGTTTCTAATTTCTTAAGACGCCTCAGTTTACCGAGCGCCAATACCTTCTTCGTTTGATCGTCTTCTTTATTGGCCCTAGACAAGGCTGCCATAATCCCTTCAAATGAACCATGTCTTACCTCACGGGGCAATGCTTCATATTGAGCTTTAGCTTTACCACTTAATTTGGACTTGAGTAACATCTTAAGTTCCTTACATGACCAGCTATGTCTGGGATACTTCAACAAAAACGCCTCCATGAAGCTATCCCAGCTATAGTCCCTATCAGTACCCGAATATACCCGCACGTCCGGTAATGCAATGTATTTCAGATACCGTACATATGACCATGCCCAAAAGATGCACTTCCTCTGTTGTTACATAAGCTTGAGGAACTGCAGGAACTTTCGCATTCACTATCTTCGTATGTACTTGACGTAACACTGGACTCACCGGCCCTTATCTGCTTCCTCCTTGAGGATGGATCCGATTCCTGCAATATCCAGCGATTCGAGCTGTGCCACTGTTCTTCGCCCATTCTGCAACGCATTCACATCAGGAATTCAAGTCCAACTTCAGCCTACGTAAAGACTCCAATTTATGCTTAACTTTAGTTTCAGGATTCTCTACCTGGCAAAGCTTCACGCCTCATTCCTTTTCACGCCCTCTCAGCTCCTCCAGCTCCTGCTCCTTGGCCTTCAGCTGAGCCTGTAATGCAACTACTTCACTTTCTTTTTGTATTGCCCGCGCCATTTTCTTTTTCAAGTTGGGCGCAATTACTCACCACTTCCTCTTGAGCCCAACTAGTTATGCTCAAAATTTTGTCGACCACCGCCGCCTTTTCCACCAGGCTTTCTATCGCCTCCACGAATTCTAATTGTGTGTTGCACTCCAGCGATGCCCATCAGCTGCCTACAACTCAGCTGTTCCTTCGCCCACTTTTCACAAGCCCCTTTGAGCTCAGCCACCCCTTCCTCAACAGTTCCTACTGCTGCTCTGGTAACCTGCTCCAGCCTCTCTCTCCTGGGATCGTTCGTCCGTGCTCCGCCACAACCAATACTTCGAACTCTTTAATTTTTTTCTGTAGCTGGTCACATACCTTAAGCTGTTCCAGCTCGTTGTTCAGCTGGCGCTCTTCGGCCATTTCTATATCCTGGCTCTCCATCGTTCTATCCGCTTGTACAACTTCACCTGCAATGGGCGTGTGATTACTCGCTCTGTCAGCGTCCTTCAACGCCTCTGATTCTTCCATCCGTGGCGATCAGCGATTGCGGGTGCCAAATCTCTTCTTTTCCGAAGAAATCGCCAGCCCCGACGCACACAGCGTTGCCGGCGATTCCTTACCAAAGAAGGGATCTGACACCACACTGGTCTCAGTGAGTTGGGCTCTCTTTCTGGGAGCCACTTACTCACTAGCAGTGCGACACGTAGTGGCCACTCGAGGACTCGCCAAGGGGCCACCACGCAAATACAAAAAAATTGCTGCACTTGACTGTTCCTGCAGACGGCGGCTTGGCCCCCAAGTTCGATATGTATAATACCGGTTTGACCGCCTCGCTGATTCGATGTTAAAAAAAAACTACACGCGAGTAAAGAAAAAAAAGGAACCCTAGGCTCAGCTAATTCCCCCGGGGAGGGTGGGTCTATAAAAAGGCCACAAAAACAGAGAGTCCCCTTCGGTAAAGGTGCCCCCTTGCGGGTTCGCGCCCAAACCGCCTCCGGCCACCCACTCGACCGTCCGACCATCGATTTCGTGATCTCCTATCGACGTTGAATCTGAATCAAAGTTTACTTTCTTATGATTACTTTTTTTTCTACCCACATGCTACATTTTATTCTCTGTATAGAGCCGCCTGAAAGCCACAGTGTGGGAATCCTTCGCTATGATGATCATCCACTTGCGCCCACGTAACTCCTCATGGTAGAACTCGGGCGGCTTCTCATCTGCATTCATACAAAATTGACGATTGTGAGTTTTGGCTCGAGGTCCAAGACCACCCATATTTCATCTAGGGCCGGGGTGCGTTTTCACAGTCGTGAATGACATCTCATGCTGAGAACATTACTGCTAGAGGCATAGAATCGGTACTGCGTTCGTGCTTCTACAAGAAAATTAGGTACCCATGCGCACACCCTCTTGACCATCCTCAGTTTATCGGACATAACTCGGGCAGCAGTTGCAGCAGGGATGTCAGACTCGCGGGGAAGCTCGACAAAGGTCCAGGCTCTGTGATCAGACATTCAGCGCTTGACTTCATCCACCCTTTTTTCTTGTGCAGGATGAACATTATGGGACCATCCACGACAACAAATTTTTTCCTTTCTTCCTTCTTCGGGCTCCTGAACCAAACCTTCCACCTTGTATTCTGAGAACACCATTACGCATAATTGCTGGGATTAATTGAGCAGCGCTTCCCTCTTATGACGTCTGATTTGGAAGTCGGGTGCAGTTTACCACTTCTTTTCAATTTCTCGAGAACTTCTTCTGTGGGTAGGTTCGCCAAATTTCACAGATACACAGCTAAAGGTACTAGCTTCCAAATGGTATAGTAGCCCGCTGCCCTATCCCCTTTGCTTTTCTGCCATTCCTCTATATGTCTCGGCACTTTTGAATGGGATGACCTAATAGGATCATGACACATTCTTCTTTTTAGTTCACTCACAGCTTTGTTTTCCCTTTTTTACTAAGGTTTACCCTCAAAAGTTCCTAGCAATTTTTTATATATTATATTATTACCAGTCGCCTCGCCGGCTGACGCCGGCGCGGCTCCTTCTGATACGGCCCGGCTGCGCCGGGCGGGCGCGGCTTCGCCGCGCGTACCTTCTCTCACATATTTCTAGACTCAACTGATATCCGCCTTTTGTTCTGTACTCTACTCCGGTGTCTGAAGTACTCTTGAGCTGTTTACAAATTCTTCGTCTGACTCCGCCCACCTCAGAGCAGACCCGCCCTCAATTTTTGTGCCCCGCACTCTTCACAGGCGACCCCCTGCTGACCTTAATCCACTTTTTCCGGTGTCTGATGTGTTCTGGAACCGTTCTGCAGAGTTTTTGTCTGGCTCCGCCCACCTCGAAACAGGCTCCGCCCCAATTTTTGTGCCCCACAATCCTCATTGGCGACCCTCTGCTGACCTTGATCCACTTTTTTCCGGTCTTCGGAGTGCTCTGGGAGAGTTTTGGAGAATTTTTGTTTGGCTCCGCCCAACTCGGGCTGGCCCCGCCCACAACATGTATACCCCACATTTCTTAATCGGCGACCCCTTGCTGACTTGAATTCACTTTATTCCGGTCTTCGGAGTGCTCTGGAACCGTTTTACAGACCCTTTTGTCTGGCTCCGCCCACTCGAAGCTGGCCCCGCCCCCAATTTTCGTGCCCCACAATCCTCACCGGCGACCCTCTGCTGACCTTAATTCAAGTTTTTTTTTTCCGGTCTTCGGAGAGCTCTGGAAGCGTTTTAGCAGACGGGATTTGTCTGGTTCCGCCCACCTCGGAGCAGGCTCCGCCCACAATGTTTTTGCCCCACAGTCCTCACCGGCGAACCTTTGCCGACCTTGACGCACGTTTTTCCGGTCTTTGCAGTGCTCTGGAACCGAGCTACAAACTTTTAAAGTGAGTATCCTGCGGTTTAGGGCAAGCTCCGCCCACTGTGGGCGGATCTCAACACACTTTGGGCATGCCCAATACTCGCCAGATATTTACATTCTGCACTGAGCTTTTTGCGGCTTCTGAACACTCTCGCGAACCGAGTTACTGAGTTTTATGCGAAGCACCGCCCACCTTGAGTACGCCCCGCCCATTTTGGATGTGTCTGCCACAGTTAGTCTGGCGACTCCTTACTAACCTTATTCCCTTGTTTCACCATCTTAGGCTGCTCCGGAAGCGAATTATGAACATTTTTCTGTGAAACCCAAAATTTCAGCGAGTGCCCCGCCCACTGTGGGCGGGGCTTCGCATAGGTCAAGTGTGCTTTTTATTTCTTGTCCCATGCTCTACCCATCCCCACCTTGACCCGACCTCTCCAAGTCGTTCTTCAGGTCGAACCGAATTTCCGGACAGACAAACAAACTTACAAACAAACTTACAAACAAACAGACGAAGCGAATTATTATATATATGGGGTGATTATTTATATCTCTGTAGAACACTCAGTGTTCATCCACTTCTCTGCAAACACCACATTTTCATTTTTTTTTTACCTGGTGTTACTTGTTCACTTGTACTTATTACACTAGTGAAGAAGTAAAGGGCGCTAATGTGATGAGGGAGCACGCGCACGCCGCTCTTCTGCACTCTCCTCGCCGAGATAGTGTTTGGAACAGTCCGTAAAGGATTTCTGGCGTACTTTAAGGGAGATATTTATTAATTTCGGACGGACAGGTGAAGTGCATATACCCACAGGGGAATCTGTCAAAAAGCATGGCTTCTGCTGCTAATTTTCTGCCTGTCTATTCTGGGAAGGTGCTGCAGAGTAACAAGAGAGATTCCAGAGGCCGTGAATTCGTGTTACAGACCAGGATTGTCATGGGAACGCGGTATTGTACTAGAGCGTGCAGTGATAAGGAGGATCCTTCTATCATGTCAATTTGTTCGAGTCATCACGCTTCCTATTCACTGTGGCCTCCAACTTACCAGGAAAGGTCAACAGGTCAGCCTGGCCATTTGCAATGAGATGCACATCACTGTACTCATCTTTACACGCTGAACTCAGAACTGCCTTCAGAATTTGCAGAACGATTCTCTGAGCGGAGTTATTGAGGTTTTTCTTTACTGTTTTTCTTCTTACGGGCGCGCTGGCACCGAAGCGTTGGCACCGGTAGCGCGACTCACAGCGCTCTTCGCGCAAAACAGGTATCATATTCGTGTTCAGGGGGTCAAATAACCCCTAGGGACGTCACCTTAGCGAAATCTGAGCTTCTGACTCAACTTCGAAAAAATGGGGTATGGATAGTCATGGCTAACTGATAGCTAACACGATACTATGACTAGCATACTGGTGATGACTGGTCTTCGAACTGAAATAACTCTTCAGTCATGTCTTTTTGCAAACACAGTACCTGGCTTACTTATTTGTGCCGTCTGCATCATTTTCTTGACTATCGGGAGGAAATCCCATTCCGAGACCAGTCATCGATGGTAGGTGAGCTCCAATCTGCTGCTAATTACCCATGGAATAGCCCACATTTTCCAAGTGAGGTCGAAAAATCAGATTCGGCCAGAAACTTGTCCCCAGGGGTAATTCGACCCGCTCA